GAAAGTCACCAAGAGACGTCTGTCTCCAGAAACACTCAAGCTAATACGCCAGCGTGGAATCGCACGAGCTGCAGGCAACCAGGAACTAACGTCCGAACTTGCCAAATAATACAGACAGGTGCTTAAAGAAGATCTTAAGGAGAGAAGAGCAGCAGTTATGGTCGAAGCTACAGAGACTGGAAAAAGCATTTGCAAAGCCTACCGAAGCTTCGCCAATTACAATGCAAAGATGATTGCACTCCGGCGCCCAGACAGAACAGTTACAGCGTCCAGAAAGGTAATGGAGAAAATTGTTCACGAATACTACTCAGATCTCTTCGATAGCCACGTCCACCTTCCCTCACATGAAATAAAGGAGGATGGATATGTTGTACCACCTGTTTTCCCTTCCGACACCATGTCGAGAGTATGAAGTGGTGTAGACATCGACTCGGATCATTGGCTCTGATGAGGACGAAGACGTCGAAATGTTGGCCAAATAAAAGTTGCATAAAAACCCCGTGTAAGCTCAACAATCTAAACACATGTTGACTATTCTATTACCGAGGTTAAAAGACGTTCGGTTTCAAAGTTATTGCTTTAACCTATGACATTATAAGATATATTTAAAACTGTACAGTTAGAAAATTTTTCAAAATAACACTGGTTATTCCGAAGCCGAAAACAGCTCGAAAAAGCCAGAATGGTAACAAAGTAGGCTTTCTATAACAGCTATTACTGAAACCTACCGTACGTTTACTAGACCTAAAACATCGTTGTCCACTACCCGTAGCAAGTACATATTGATAACGAATGAGAAAACTCGTGCGACCATCTGAAACGTAACTCTGTGGTGAAATTACAATACAGCGAGAAAGGATAAAGGCTAAAGCTGTCGGCGTCGATAAACCCCGCAGGGATGCACCATGCACTCGACTTCATCTAGCATCGTTGGAGGTAATTGAATGCGTATCTGCCCTCTACAGTGATTCATATTGCCCTACCGATGCATCCAGCCAATGCTGCTCTCTCCCCGGACTAGTCTGGTACCAATTTGCCGACCCTGGAAGGATGGAAGGCTTGGTGCGCAATGGGCGCAGGGATCGATCCCATACGTATTGCAGGGCGCCTCCGACCACTGCGCTACCTCACAATAGAGCGATAGTGAATCTAAGTGTTGGGAACTACTCTCTGCCACATCATCATAGGATATCAAACTGAAACACATCACAGTTGATGCAGAAAATCAACATAACATTCAATTCTCCATGTATTATTTCCGAAAGACCACTAAAAGCAACTACAAATTCGATAAGTGAATGTTCTCACCTGACCACTGAAATTAAGGGCCAGTGCATGAGCTAAGGAGGTCATTCCTCAACCTAAAAAGTGTTCAAATGAACAATTATTCAATACAGCCACAATGATACTGAGATATTTGTAGAATTTGGACCCCTGGCAGGATTCAAACCTTCAATCTGGCCTGAGGTCCAATTTTTGATCAAATATCAAGGCATTATTGTGGTTGCATTTCACATAATACTATGCCGTGAAAAATAATAACAGGCAGCAGATAAAAAGTTCAGTTCCGAATGGCTCCATAGGTGTCAAGTAATCAGGATGCTCTGCTATTTTTTCAAAACACTATGGACTCTGAGTAAACAGGTAAACAGTCGATTGTTTATGAGGATGTCTACACATGTCACATCCAGATAACCAAGACGGATAAAAGCGATTCCACAAATGAAAGACTGGCCTCCCAACGGTTTAACGGATCATCGTGCCTGCGAGATGTTCCTGGGTTTCGAGCTGCGATATACAGTTGGGCCATCATCCACTCAGCAGGGTCTCCCAAACTGACCGGCCCGGCGTTTCCATCAAGAAGCCCAGCTCGGAGTAAAGCAATACCAAGATCCACTACCGTCTTTGGTATTAAACTAGTCGAATGGTGGCAAATCTCCCTCTGATCAACAAGCATGGGGGCTGCCTCCTGTGGTGACGACCTGGGCAGACTCTGGCTCGGTTGACTTCGGCACTCCAGAGAACCACAATGGCTAAACCAGCAAAACACTGAGAAGATGGAAATTACGCCTGGGCCCACACAACCAGTGAAGACGGGCCATCAAACTATCCAAATAACTAGTGAGTATTTGACCAACCTCGAAGTTCTTATAAGGTAATGAGGCCTTCTGAGCGACTAATCTTAAAATTCAGGCCATCAGCATGAAAACAGGACAAACTCTTACACTGTACACATTGCCTAAAATATAAGGAATTTCCAGCAGAAGGGAGCTAAAGCGATTTATTCCATGACGTCCGTCCAAAGTTCCAATTACATCGATGCTGTAAGCTACTCAAGAACATCCAAAATACTACTAAGACCACCTTATCAATAACCTCTTGAAGCTGTCAGAACCCTATCTCTGGGCAAGACTCCATCGATAACTCAAAGCAACGACGACGACATATCGATAACGAAGTGAATACACGTGGAACATAATTCACTGCGTACACTGACACACATATCAGTGCGCAATAGTCAGGCAACAATGTCCTAGGGGAGGTTTCTTGGCGGCATCGTCGTGTTCAGTTTTCAGCTTGTCAAGTACCCAATTCGGCCAGCGGGTCTATTCCCCTTGCGTTTATCCTTGCCGAAGGTTAAAGTAGTTTTGAATCTTGTTCTTAATGTATTTTCTTAATAAGTGGTTAACTCTGAAAGTTGGTAGTCGCATGGCTTGTCATACTTACGAACATCGGTTCTTTGTCATTCTCATTCCGAACCTCACAGAACCCATATGCTTAATATCTGATTGTCAAAGGTTGCCCTTCTGTTCCTAAATCTCTGATTAGAAGCTACTGTACAGAAGTCTGAGAACCTGTTGAGTGTAGATTCTGTTCTTTAGAACCTTGTAAAAGGTGCTACGTAGTTGTCTGTTCACTAACTGTTTTCCATTCTCTCGTGCATCATTTTACTTGTGTTTCTTGTTAATCAGTCCGACTTATGTGTAACTGGTAATGACATAGAACTGTTCTTTCTTCCAGAGCTTCGTTGGCGAGGTCCGAGACATTTGCAATGTCCTGGATTTGGGACTGGCTCTCGAGTGTGCTCAATTTTTTAGGTAGTTTAAGTGTTTTTTTATTGCTTCATAAAGCAAGAGCTCTTAATTTGCTTCAATATTCGGATGAGTTGTCGTCACTAGTCTTGAGGGTACGGCACATTTCAAATTTGCTTCCCCAGTGCTCGTGGGAATACTCAACACCGGACGTTGGTGATATCGAGATGTTGCATTTTTCCCTCTTAATGGATTCATACTAGTTAATCGTTATGGTGTGCAATTAGTACATGCTACTTGCGTTTAGGTCTTAGTAAAAAGAATGGGAAACTGGTATTTCTTGGTCTGGATAACGCTGGAAAGACGACGCTACTGCATATGTTGAAAGACGACAGGATGGCACAACATGTGCCCACTCTGCATCCAAGTAATTTTCCTATTCTACACTTGTGTAAGATTTCAAATCTTTTTTCCAAGATGTTGCTTGAGTAGGATATTCATCAAGTCAGGCGTAGCGAATGTTGCATGAATCGTAGGTGACTTTCTCTCTTTAATCGATAAGCTCCATTACCAGTTATCTTTACTTATGGAATTAATCCACCGGTCTAACTTCGCTTGTAAGAAATTGTAGGGTCTGAGACAATCGTTTATCAGAAATATCACTGGAGGATTATTCAATGCAAGACAAATCTTGGCTCTTTTCATTTGATTGCTTGATAAGTGGCAATTCTTTGGGCACGCCGCTTTTTTGGACTGGTGGTGCGTTATAATCTTTTGAATAGTTAAAGAAGGATTGTGTGCAGTTCGGTAAATTCAGTTGTAAAAATTCGGAACTAGTTGGCATAGAGAAAATGGTCGTTAGCATCACTAAGGTGCATTTTACTATATTTTAGGAAAACCCTTAGCTGAATCATATCAGATGTAGTTTTTTTCTGGAAAGGTGGGTTTTGCTCCTTAGAATTGGTGAAATTGCGGTTAAAAGCAATTTTATATCTTGGTCTTTGAATTAAATGTTTTTTTTTAGAGGATTAGGACACTCGAATGTTCCATCTGGTCGCAGAGAAGATTTCTCGCAAAATATACATCAATGCGTTACATATTCTGTCCCTTTTTTTATATCTTCATAATGTGTATAGTTCTGAATGTAGCCTATAGCATGCACAGTTCCCGCTTAATGTTCCCATACATGACCCAAATGCCTCTTCGATTGCTTTCTAAAAATGAGCAAGCTTTCAAAACAAAGTCCTGAATGTGGCGAGATGCACCAGATTCCACCAGATTTTGCCATTTGTACACATTTTAGTGAAGGATCTTAAGAAAAAGTGAACATTTCAGCTTCGGAAGAGTTGACTCTTGGTGGTATTCGATTCACCACCTTTGATCTTGGTGGACACGCACAAGGTGCGTTCTTTCTTTCTTCACACTTCATGAGTTTAACTCGATTAAACCTACAGTTTAAATCGTTTAGTACCGAAATACGTTTTACAAAATAAGGTGTTCGTTTCTCGTGAATGTTTCATCGAAAGGCACTGCCGAGTATTTCTAGCGTTTTTCCCCTATTTTTCTTGCTTTGTTGGTTTTGGAGAGTTACAGCATTGTTCTTTTGTATGGTGTGTTTTTTGTTATTTACTATACATTTTTTGTTGAATATATTATTTTCAACAGAAGTTTGCAACTTTTCAGTGCTGTGCTGCTTATCTTGAAGGACTGCTTATTCAGATCATTTACTTATATTTTACACTTCCGTCGTGATATCTATAAAAATACTCCATCTTGAATTCTACTTACAGCCCGCCGTGTCTGGAAAGACTACTTCCCTGCGGTAGACGCCATAGTTTTTTTGGTAGACTGCGCAGACTTGGGACGCATTCCTGAGAGTCGGACTGAGCTGGAATCTCTTATTAGGGATGAACAGGTGACAACCAAATTTTTGGTTTCGTTCTTAGTACTGTATTTCTTCTGCGATTCCATTGCTCCATACTCGTGATGACGAATGCAAAATACATGTGTATTAAGATTATTCTTTCGCAAATCATATTTGCCTCAGCACTTGATTCCATTCATTCAGGACTGTATTTCATAGAGTAGTACTGATATTACGTTTGCCGTTCGTCTGTCCATGATTTCAATTTAACCGGATGTTGCGTGAGATGCAAACTAATAGGTCTCTTTCGAGCTCCCAATAATAAGGATGCTTAAAATTTGTGACTTGTCTCGTGTGTTGTTCTGTGTTGTAGTTTTATAATCGAGCTCCCATTAATAAGGATGCTTAAAATTTGTGACTTGTCTCGTGTGTTGTTCTGCGTTGTAGTTTTATAAAATAGCTTGTTGATGGTCGTGCTTTGAACATTTCAATCTATAGAATTTGGCGTTCCAGTTTCAAATGTTTATTTAGGACATGTTTAATGTTTTGACGTGTGTTTAAAAGAGTGACAGTAATCTTCAGTGTTTATTGTGTGTTTATTATTTAAATGTTTAAGATTTAAGCCTTGATTGTCGTCTAAATGTTGCACATTTCCTGTTTGAAATCCTTCACCATATAGTTTGAAAACTGGGCATACCTATAGGTGTGGTCTCCGTGATCAGTGTGCTATTGGTATCAATTCGTTTTCCATCGTAGCATATGTCTCCTGTTAACTGGGTTTCCTTTCGATTTATTCATAATCCAATCGCTGCTCCTAGTTCATTGGGCTAGTTGAGTACCGTTTTTCTTCACTGTTGCTTCTTCAAAAGTTGACGGTGTTCTCGGCATAGATTGGTTCATTACTTTTCTGTAAATTCACATGTTCTTTCCTTCCAAATATATCTTCATTATCTTTTACTGTGCAATTGTGAACAATGTAGGCGAAGTGGCATCGTTTCCTCACCTTTTCCTACTATTATGATTACAGAGCGGTGAAGGTGACACTGGGTCAACGGTGTAGTTGTCATAACAGTTGGAATCTTTTTGGTTGTTTATGACCAATCTAGTTCTTGGCGAGTACCACTCGAGGTGATATTGGTTTTGATGCTGTACTACGCTTTTTCATTTCGCAGTTCAGGAATGTTTGAGCAAGGAGCGATTGGTACCTCAAGCAAAACTTTAACCGACTAAATCCCTTTCGAGAGCTCGGTTTTGCAGTCAGTTGGTGCTTAAAGGAACAGTGAATTACTAATCAATGCTGTGTTTAATGGAAACTTCACTTTAGGAATTAATGCATACTTTGTCTTCGTTTAACGTACTTGGCATGAGCGAACGTGCAATCAGCGTGAAGAACCTGTAGAGCACACTCGGCAAACAAACTATACGGTCTTTGCAAAAGTCGCATCAATCATATTTGTTGTGCAGGATGACAACCACCGTACTAGCGTCGTTACCTTAGCGTGATATATTGGCATATGGCTTGCGAGATGGGATCTGGAATTGGAACAGTACGACGACAAATGTTTAATTGCAGCTTCTTGTGATCAGTTCGTCATTACGGCATGTGTAGTGTTAATTTCACCTTCATTTATCTATGGTTATAGTGGGACATTATATTTTTATAGGTTTCACTGGCATTTTCTTAGCTTGATTCTTTCCTGAACTGATTTCAGCAACTTTTCTCATCAATCTTTTGTGACTGACATTTATTACTAGCTGTGTTAGTGGTCTAACAGTCTTATACAGTTTCGTTTTCTCTTCCTCGAGTAATTGTTTCATAGTAGATTTGTGGACTGAACTCCTCGAAGAAGAAGAAGGACTGAAACCTATTCAGTACGCCTTTTTACAGTCGTTTCGGTTTTTTCTTAGTTTTGCAACAATGCTAAGTACTCTTACAAAGCATTCCTCATAAACTTGTTTTTTCCTTTGTGGGTATTGACGGTTTTTTCTAGTCTCTTATTGAGAATGTGGTCGATCTCCTCATAGATATTCTTATATCCACTTCTGTTCTGAAATACGAACTTGTACTTCTAAGGGTCGATTTGAGAAAGGAATTCACTGATTGGGAGGCCAGAAATAAATTTGTCGTTTTTTTTTGGTCTCCTAATCCGTGCTTCTCATCCCTGTATTCCATTTGTTTGGCCGTCCCTATTTGGTCGTTGGTTTTCCTGAAAAAGGAAAATTGTAGAAGTAACGGAGTTTTTAAGTGAAAGTGTCTAAACCACAAGCTTAAATGACCTTGCCGAAGTACGAACATTTGTTGCAAATCTTAAATTCGACATCCAAGAATACCCTGTTGTCATAGTGTTCCATTAAACCGCAGAAAGAAAGCGACTACTAATCTGCTTATTCAGGTAGCAGCAGCGCCAATCTTGATTCTCGGAAATAAAATCGACAAGTCAACTGCTTTGAGCGAAGAACAACTTAAATGGCATCTTGGTGTTCAACATATGTGCACGGGAAAAGGTTCACATTTCTGCTTCTACATACAAGATTACTTTTTTTTCTTCTTTTCCTTAAATTTGATTTTACCGCTTTCTATTCAGTATACACATCACTTCTATTGTCGCAGTAGATCGCATTAATGTCCTTCTGTGTCCTGATTTAGTTTTGTTTCAAACCTATTGATAGGTTTTCAGATTACTCTGTAAGAGCTTTCTCGCTTAATTTCGAATGTTGGTTTCTTAGTCAAAGTTTAGCATCAGGTTAACAGTCGCTCTTCATGAATAAACGTGGATGAAACCTTTTTTGTAATTGACACTTTAAATTCATTTCCAGTAATTCTACTGCCATGTGCAAATTAAAAATATACGTTAGTCAACAACCGAAATGAAATGGCGTCACAATATCCGAGCTGAATATGAATTAGCATAAATAGCGCTGTGGTGACACCACACTTCTAAATTTAATCATCGAGTAGCACCAGTACGATTTAGCGGCTTGGGCCCTAATTTATCTGTAGACCAGCATGTCTCGAATATATGGAAAATTCCCACTCCTTGTCTTTCTAGATGTGTCACGCCGATATTATTTCAGGGTTCCATGAATACTTTTACACTACTTTTCGTTTTACCCACGTCGAATTGGTCTGCTTAATTTGTTTATTGACTCGAAGCACGGTTTTGTCCGTTAACTTTATATTCAGGTGAAGTGTCACGCAGTGACTTATCATCACGACCGATGGAAGTGTTCATGTGTTCGGTGTTGCGACGACAAGGTTATGGTGAAGGTTTTCGCTGGCTGTCGCAGTATCTCGACTAAGTGCGACTCATTACTACTGTGTATTGACGAATATCATTTCGTATGGAGTTTATTATTGGCTTCCTGATTCACTGCTGTTTATTTCTTCAGTGCTATTAGTGTAAATGTTCACAATAGCGTCTTATGTTATAGCCCATATCGTCACAGTTCTACAGTGCCCCTGTGATCGGTGTTGTGTTAAATGTATCTTATGGTCTTTGTCACCATGAGAGCAGCTCTGTCTCTCCTTCATTAATTTCTCAGAAGAAGTCATTAGTGCTCGTTTAGGACCCCTATTTCCTGTCATTTTCATAGTTATCGTTTGAAAAAAAGAAATTAGTTCCTTTGTTATCACCAATTAGTTCGATCAGCAATGACATTATTGTGACTGTCATCGCATCCTCCTGCTGCTTCAACTACGGAGATGATAGAACATGATCTTATTCACATTTTAGCTGAGTTGTCAAAGTACACAATGATAAATAATTGAATGTTGGAGTTTATTGAGATTGGGTACACTTCGCCTAATCGGGAATTTGAACTGATGTACCCAATCACTTCATAATTCTGTAACTACACGTTTTGCTAGTTAAGAAACGTTACCAATAGAGCACCATGTTTGACCGTGATTGTTATGATCAGTAAATTGGCTAATAAGTCATTTGCATATATTCACTTATACACGAACGAAGAGGGGTTTGTTGCTGAGCACTGCTAGGAGCCGAGAACAATCGTTTATAAAATTCGAAACAAAGACGTGTAGAAAGAATAGATTAAGGAATGAATTAGGAATCAGCAAAGCAACGAAAGTAATAAAGGACTCGGGGTTCACTCAATGATATGTACTCGACGAAGGTACGGTTTACCACTAGGCAGTGGTACTGTGTCCACTTCCTCGAAAAGTTCTTCGGCTTCTGACATGGAAACGCTAGGCTGGACCATACAAGCTTCCTTCGCACTATTCCAGCCTTCCGGTGTAGCAACCTCACAAATATAATCTTGTAGGAACTCTAATAAAGATCGAAGAGGAAAACAATGACTCACAGGCATACGGTCTGTCAATTGCAACGAGTCGATTATGCGAAGAATTTCACTGAAATATTTAATGAGCAATATAGTGCAACGCGACAAGAGAGCTTTAAAAACAGAAGCTGCCTTTTCATGTGAGCGTTCCAAACAAGAGATCCATAATTGGTATTCTAGGACACTTAAGGTACCGTACTCGAAATTCCTTCCAGTTGTAGCAGGATAAAGAATTTGTGCACGAAGCTTTTTCTTCGGGTCGATGATGAACACAGCACGAGCTGTAAGTGGTATGCCAGCACTGTCCTTCTCTGCTGGATCCAACATGCCTAGCTCAGTTGCCAGCCTTCGGTCTTCATCGGCAATGATTTCAAACGGGAAGTTGTTAACTGAACAAGAAAAACATTTGTAACACATTCGACAAATGACAAGTGACAACATGATACAAATTTTGTCACTTCCTATTTCATATGCATACACTTCGAATCTGTCTTCTATGCACAGCTAATGTCTTATTATGTGCTTTTGTATTGCCACGAAGCTTCCTAGTACTTTTATATACCTTGGACACGTGCGGTATAAAGGATAAAGGGTAAAGCTCTCGGCGTTGATCAATCCTTGAGGGATGCGCCACGCATTCGACTTCATTAAACAGTTAGAGGTGATTAGATGTATAACCGACCTTCCTATGACTCGCGGTGGCCTACCGATGTATCGAGTTAGTGCTACTATCCTTCCAGACAAATCTGACACCAATTCACCGACCCCGGAGGGATGGAAGGCTTGGTGAGCTTAGCGCGCTGGGAAGGATCCTATGTGTTTTGCAGGGCGCCTCCGACCACTGCGCTAAAAGCGCAATATGTGGTAACCGTAAAGAATGGGGAAGTCACGACTATTGTTCAGTGCTAATGAAAAATAGTACTGCATTTGAACTATGTACGTGATCACTGCTTCCGCCGTATAGGCCGTGCAGAAATTTTTGCGCGCTATTCTCTCGAGATGTTTTCTGTGATCATGTCTACCACTCTTTAAAACATTTGCGACAGCTCATTATAATCCGCACTTGCTAGTTCAGTTTTCTTCTACATTTCAACAAGTGTACCTCAATTCGCATTGCTTCCAGCTCGCAAGTACTAATTGCGTTAGAAAATCATCCAAATTCTAGTTTCCTGGTTTTCAAATTTTGCGGACGTAAATGTTTTAGACGAAAATGATGTATTCCCCTACAATAATCTACTCGTCTGTGAAGTTCTCAAATTCTCGGGTGCTCGCGTTTTTGAGAAACTATCGGCAAATTTCGAAAAAACCCGCTGTCGTGTCGTATGTGTAAAACATTGGCGATAACTGCTGTCACTTTTCTACTTGCGAGGCAACGACTTCAATCACACGAAGTAACGCGAAAAGCCTGTAAAACGTACTCGTAATATGAGGAACTTCTGCGTACGCCAGGATATCTCTGATCCAACTGCGATGCGATTCAGCAGAATCGCAACTTAAGGCGATCATCTGCACTTGACGTTCCTCGAACTTCTCAGCCAGCTGAACTGCACGAGCCAGTTCCGTGGTGCATACGGGAGTAAAATCGGCAGGGTGTGAGAACAAAATGGCCCAACTGAAACTCCACTGTAGAGGCAAGGAAACTGATAAGATATAAACTCCACTATCACTTAGGAAGGAAGCCAATAATATAGCGGTACTAATCTTCAAATAATAACAAGCACAATCCCACCTGTTACCCATCCAATCATGAAAATCCTCTATTTTGCCAAGATTCGTCACTGCGGAAAACGCAGGGAATGTGTCGCCCAGTTTCATTCTCTTCTGAAATTGACGAACGTTTTGAGATGTAAAGTATCTAGTCAATATAGTTTTAACGTTAACAGGAGCAAAACCGGTAAAATCTGCCGAAGAGTGATTGGATCAACTTAGCAAACCAGTTCTGTTTTAAACCTCCGTCTTAAGAACCAGTTTTCTCGAACGGTTACCATGAAAAATCCCGCGAATTCCCAACAAAGGATGAAAAAAAGAACTGTTTCAACTAATTTTTTGCAACCATAGCATTGAACTCCAAATTTCCTTGCTAGCTAGTTTATAGACTAATATCAAATACAATTTAAGCTTAACAATATAAATTATATGATTAGTTATAATCACAATCTTATCCCTTTTATTTACTGCCTTTTTCTTCTTAATGGCAGGGTATGTTGCGAAATATAACTCGTATGAAATGCTGAGATATTTGGAAAACTCCGGACCGCAGGTGTATGCAGTGGGGAACGAACACGCGCTGTTGTCCTTACCGAGGAGCAGCGCACTTCACCACTACATCATCCGGGTCCTTCGTTTTGCCTGTCTCTCAGCTAGTTCTAAAAGGGTTAAGATTGTGATTATAACTAAGCCTCAGCTTAACTGGGTTCAATGCCAATTTGGGCTCCGCAGATCAATCCCGTTGACGGGTGATTGCTGATGGCAAAAAGATCGATAGAACTAGCTGAGAGACAGTCAAGACGAAGGACCCGGATGGTGTGGCGGTGAAGTGCGCTGCTTCCCGGTAAGGACAACAGCGCGTGTTCGTTCCCCACTGCATACACCTGCTGTCCGGAGTTTTGCAAATATCTCCGCATTTCATACGAGTTATATGATTACTGTTTAACCTCGTGTCACTGCCTATTATTTTTTCATAGCAGGGTACTATATGGATTACAGCCACAATGAAGTTGCAGAATTTGTAAAACTCGGAACTTCAGGTCAGCTTCAGACGTGCGATTACCCTTACCTGGGGCTCGCTTGCTATCCACGACACCACCCGAGGCCTTTGTTTTGCCTTTCTCTCAGCTAGTTTCTTTATTCCGTTGCTATTATCAGCAATCACCCGTCAACTGGAATGATCCAGGGAGCACAAATCGATATTGAACTCGGTAAAGTTGAGGCCGTATTCGAAATCACAATGTTTCAACTTTTATTCGAGTAAAGAGGGAAGAAGCACTAAATAGTAAAGAACAAAGAATAAAGAAAGAAGAGAGAGTAAAAACATGGCCGAGAGAGAGTGAAGCAAGGGCCTTGGTAAATGCAGTGGAGAACACTTTAATCATCGGAGGTGGTAATTGCTGGTTCGAAGGTCACCTGGGGTTCCGCGTTTTGCAAATTTTTCAGCATCGTTGTAGTTATATGACTAAAGTTTAATGTAGTACCATCTGATACTTAGCGTTCCATTACAATGGAAAACCTCCCAGTGGTTTACCGCCTCGACGTGACTGGGAGGTGTTCCTGGGTGTCGGACTGCGATGTAGAGCAGGGGATTCATGCCCTGGCAGGGTCTCCCAAGCTGAGAAGGAGTCCGGTGTTTTCATTAGGAAGCCTAGATAAGAATAAAGCAATCCCAGGATCCACCACCGTATTGGGATCAAATCTGCATGGTGACAAATCCCCCTCTGATCCACAAGGGCTGCGACTGCCTGTGGTGGTGACGACCTAGAGCGAACTTAGGCCAGGGTGTCCTCAGGGAAACATAATGACTAATACAGCAAATGAAATTTTTTCTATGGAAGTAAATGTATGCTGTTTTAAAAACCTCGCGATTGCTGAACAAGAAAACGACGGATTCATAAGCCAGCATAACTCCGAAAAAACGGAGATCACGCCGGGGTCCGCACAAGCAGCGGTAACTGGCTATCCAAGTATTGAAGTAACGAAAAAGCATGGAAATGGTATAAATCCTACAAACATGCAGACGGCATGCGTGTGCAGTGTCCGTAGTGACGCCAACTACAACAAGTCGTCTACGCCTCTGCTGCGCATTGCTGGGGCGGCGGTGGGAGTGGCTTTGCCGACGTGAATGCATGTTGTCGTCATAGTTGTCTTCGTTCTACCAAAGATACCATCCTTCTACAGCCAGCGATTTGCTGCCGATCATTGATTATTTGTAACTTTATAGGAGGTTACTTGCTGAGTTTCCCGCCACTGTTTTTTCACCACCCCCTCCTCTCCTCCCACTGTGAGTACTTCAACGTCAATAAATTCTTCAAATATGTTGTTGTCAAGTCTCTCGAGATCATCCACCCGCATCGTACCACAATCACCGAGGTCATTCATCATCGTACATCAGATGTATCACTGGAGCAACGGCACTCGACAAAGTTATAGAGGTAATGTTCTAGTCAAAAAACCGACTTTTTATAAACGCGGCATAAATAATCGATATATTTACTTATATGCTCTTATGAACTACCCTTGTCAAACTTATGTGAAGTTGAAATAAGTTGTCGTTGTTGTTGTCGTTGTTGTTGTCGTTGTTGTTGCCGTTGTTTTTATTTGTTGGCTGGCGTTTCGGCGATTTTGCCTTCCTCAGACTCTCAACATATTTTGTATAACACTCAACAAGGACAGTTCATAAGAACATATAGATAGGTATAGTGTTTTAGTGGCCAGTGTTCTTATTATTCGCTTAGAATCGGTACAACAATGAGAGAAAGAACAGATGAAGGACGCTTAACTGAAGACAACTAGATATTTTTTGCATCGAATACCGAATGTTAGCTTAGATAAACTGAGAGAATCACTCTGTCACAATCAGCATTTGCATCAGCATTTAGCTAAGAAAATGATTACATAAAGGATAAGAAATAATAGTTGTTCTCGATATTCTTGTTGAGCATTTCGTCCGCTCATCTAATTGGCGTGTCGCCAATTAGATGAGCGGACGATTGTCATTCTTGGAGGGAAAATTCCGTTACGAAATGTCAGAGGCGTTGGCTTTATCGTGCACCTATCGAGTTCCTAAATACTAACCTCATAGGTAATCCTTTCACAGCGCTTCATCCTTCGTCTCCAGCTTTGCATCAAGAGAGAGGCAGTATAATCAATAGCTATTCATTAACTGCTACATCTGATGAAAACGAACTAGAATAACTCTACATATAGTTGGATGAAGCAGTCTACAACGAGAAGTTCTTTTACATATTCTTTGTGCGAAACTTCAATACCAGAATAGGATGGGACAACGAAAATGGATACAGAATAGAAAAATTAGGAGTAGGAGATCGACTTGAGAATGAAACCATCCTGCAGCAATTCGATCCAGGCATATGTTCCATGAGAACTCAGTTTTCGAGGAGGGAGAACATTCTAAGAACGATTTTCTGTTGACCTCGGCATTGGTCAAACAATTCACTGTTTTCTCAATGAGCGGACAGGAGGTTGAGCCTTTTTTCTGCTGAGGTTGCGGAAGTGTTTGAGTGAGTACATTGAGCGTTAGCTTGACCTTTTCAGGCTTTGAAGAAGGCGAAACTGCCGAAACGTCAACGGTTATTGTACTGAATAAATCCTGTTATTAATAACCCCATGTGTGATAGTCGAGAAGACAAAAAATCGCCTAAGGAAGTGGGAGTCTGTTAACAATGCTACTCATTTGGAAATTGACCATATTCTCACGAACAGAAAGTGGTGATTATTTGACACCTAAGTGGTATCTATACCTCATTCTTTTATTTTTTTTTTTTTTTTTAGATTCTGTACTATACCTGATCACCGCCTTCTCCGTGCGAATATTCGGTTCGGCCATAAGCTGAAAGAGAACAGTCATCAAAGAAAAGCAAGACAAGTCATGCATGACGAGGATATTTTCCATAAAATCCTGCCCTCATATGACTGGTAGATAAAGGAATACCCGACCGAAGAGTACAAGCTCCCTGTCGAACGTCTTGAAACTTGTGCCGAACTCATCAGTTCCCCAAACAGGAAATAAGACCGCATGTCTATTAGTCCTAAGAGGATGCTCGAAAAAAGAAGGCAACTGAAGTTTGTCCCTACTGCCAACACCTAACACGGCTAATAGTAAGTGTTACCTGCAGAAAATCTTTGCAGAAGGATTTATGTTGATATAGACAAATAAAGTTATTGAAAGCAGCTCAAAAATGATCTGGTCTGAAGAAGTTCGGTCGGGATATTTGTGAATACGACGCTTTGCCATCTGCCGTGATGAACGAGAAGGGAACTATCATTAAACTCGCCATGATATGGAATTGGTAACAGGAAGTACCAATACCATATCTTACCAATCTTTTCCGCTCTACAGTATCCGTCTCGAACATCAGAATCCTCGCTGGTGATAAATAGCCTGACTTTCTAGCCTACGCACATCGAGTTGTGACAGAAATCATGAAGAACGGCACAGATCCACAACCCGGTAATATCAGCGGAGGCCTTTTTCGAGTTGTGGGTCACAGCTCATATGTACTCTTCGCAATCCATATGAAATCTTACTTTCAAAAAATGAAAATCGCTGACCAGTGGGGGACTTCGCGCACAGCTATACTACCCTAGAAGTGTAGGATAGGGGAACTCAAAGAGAATTTAATTACCTTTAACGATCATGAAGTCGATTGAATGGCCCATGCTTCATGCGTTGATCAACGCCGGGAGCTTTGTCCTTTGTCCTAGGCAGAAAATTTACCGATAGCAGCCCAAAAACGATCTTTTACGAAGAACCGCTGTAGGGATCTATGCCACTGGAATTTTCAGCTATCCACGCTGAGGAACGGAAATGGGACTATCACCCTATCTCGCCATGATATGGAACTGATAGCGGGAAAGTTTCACGCGAACTATTTACATTTCACCTTCTCCTTCCCGGACTATAAAATCCCTGTTGAAGAAAAACCACTTGGAATTCTATTCCCAGAGGTCCGAGTTGTGTTGGAAAGCATGACAAAAGGTACAACCACAGGACTGGATAATATAACCGCGAACTTCCTTCGAGCTGGTAGCCACGAATTACATGTACTTTTCGCAACTCATAATGCATCATACCTTCAGGACGAGCAGATCTCAGAACAGTTGAGATCGTCCTGTACGGTCATCCCACCCAGGAAGGATGACCAAATGGATTTTCGTAAGTATCGTCCGATATGCTTGTTAAGTGTGATTTTCAAGCCATTCACGAAGATTATCCTGTCGCACAAATGAAAAACCTTGGGTGAGGTATTGAGGTACACTTGATCAAGCAGGACTCCTACTAGGATTATTTTATTTGGACCACATCCAAACCTTGTCACGGGTCATATAGTTTGCCTGGACCACTCACCATTTATCTTCGCTTTTTTTTCGACTGCGAAAAAGTGTTTGGCAGCGTCCAAACGAGAGCAGTCCTACTAGCGCTTGTTGTCCAATGAGTAGACCGATTGGGATTCCAAGTGACCTTTATTGCAACTCCAGCCATGGAATACTTCTCCAACGATCCTTTAGCATTCCCATAGGAAAAGAAGCTCGACATGACGATACCATCTCACCAAAGCCGTTTACAGCCATGTTGCACTGGATAATGAAGTTGCTCGACAGGGATGAGAATGAAATACGCATCGGTGGGAAGCTCCCATCAAATCTTCGTTTTGTCGACGACATCTTCATCTTTTCAGGAAGTGCAGACGAAGCAGGGGAGGTGTTAAATCACCTTAACCAAACGAGGGGAAAGGATAAGATTGCAAATAAACAAAGCGAAGACCCAGTCCATGAAAAACCCTTGGTGCCAAGGCGAACAAATTGAACTGGATGGTTGCCTGATTATCGAGACTACTTTGCGCGTCTGCATTGGATGTTCGATAAACATGGAGTACAACGTAAAGGAGTAATTGTCCGGACTAGGAGAGCCGCATTAGAGCCTCTCAAAGAAACCACCGAGCACCCAACGGATTCATAATGTCGTACTCATCTTTCCAATTCAGCAGTCCTCCCAGCGCTCTGTTGTACAGCAGAATGTGGACTGATACCTCAGGTATGTCGAGAAATCTATGCGCTACCACGTAGCGTCTAGACAATGTCTTCTGAAATCTAATCAACACTCACAACGCCTAATATGAATGCGACGTTCAGACCATTGGGACCTATTTGATCTTTGGGATCTATGAGGACATACATCGATAACAAAGCGCAGATGAGCCGATCACATAATAATAAGAAAAGGAGGCAGGTAAACGAAAAGAACAGTGGAGTGGACTCCAAACGAATGCAAGCGTTTTTTGGACGACCACCACAATTGTGGAGGGACGTGTTCGTGGCTTAAGTCAAACATCTACATTCACAGATGGAAATGATTTCAGGACTACGGAATGGTTCTGGAAAAAGTCAATATGTTCGAAGCAGTCCACTACGCATAGTAACGCGAGAACGAAACCGGTGGAACATTTTTTGGGACTCGCACTACCTGTGAGGATGCGCCATCCAAGTATCTAAGTAAGCATTGTGTGACTTCCAATGTCTACCTCCTTTGCCCTTGCATACGGATACCACGTTGCTGCATTTAGATGCAGTTATTAAAATGAGTGTTTTACTACTCTTCTTCACATAATTTAACTTCTACTTCATTGTGTTGTAAAGAATCTCCGTCCAGTACAGTAAAGTACCAGTAGAGCACAGAGATTCTTGTTTACATGTTTACATGTTGATGTATCTAGTTTTAAGTTGTTTATAAAAAAAGATGGTTGTTTATTGGTGAAGTGTTTTTGTATCCAATTTTAATATCACGACCAAGACCATCCATGGTAAATCGCAATTCCAAAAGCCCACTCTCAACGCTGGACGTAGGAGTCTCCCAGTGGAGAGTACCACAATGAAATATCATAGTAAATAGAAGATTTTGCTTAGCCACGTCGCTGTTATCCCAAAATTCTACACGGGATCCGACCATCGCCTCCGCGCAAGATTCTATTTGTCGCGGAAAGCAGAAAAAGTCGATAAATTCCAAAACCGAAGTCTCAGAACTACCGCAAGCTGGGACTTATTCAATTCATTAGTCGGCTGTTGGGAAGATGCCGTTGTCGATAACATCGACGAAGAGTACGATCGGCTTAATCAACATCTTCGCGTTTGCACTATGAAGGTTGAGACTTCGAAAGTTACCAAGAGACGTTTGTCTCCAGAAGCACTCGAGCTGATACGCCAGAGTGGAGTTGCACGAGCTTCAGGCAACCGCGAACTAACGTCCGAATTTGCAAAACAATGCAGACGGGCGATAAAAGAAGATCTTAAAGAGAGAAGAGCAGCAGTTATGGTCGAAGCTAAAGAGACTGGGAAAAGCACTCGCAAAGCCCACCGAAGCT